ATTAATTCAATGTAATTCTAAAGTTATTTTGTTAGATAATTTTTAGTTATTTCAATATTATTTTATATTTATTTAACGATAATTATTAAAAGTGATCTAATGTGAGAACAATTATAATTAATTAAATATAATTAGTTTAATCTTATATATTAATTTTTGTAATTAGATTATATCAATGTAATTCTAAAGTTATTCTGTTAGATAATTTTTAGTTATTTCAATATTATTTTCTATTTATTTAACGTTCAAATGTTCATTATTTCGTAATATTTCGAAACAAACGATATATAACCTATAATTGAACAATCATAATTATAATCTTGTATATTATTACTCTGTATAAAATAAAATCATATAAATATTGATAAAATATTCAATCGATTTAATTAAAGACGAAATTAAAATATTATAAACATGAAGTATACACCCCATTCCATTTACACGTTATATTTGTGAATCACATATATCATACGACATTTTTCGATAAATCCTCCGTCGGGACGGTAGATTTGACTAACGTCACGGAAACGATATTACTCGGTGTTACTTTTATCGAGAAAAAAAAGAAATTAAATTCGGAGAAAAATTAACGAATAATCTTTAGGATATTATCTAATTATTGATTACCACATTATTATTAACAAATGATAATTTTCAAAAGGTAAAATATTTATTTACAAAAAAAACTAACATAACTAATTGATGGTGGATTAAAGTTAGAAGAAATTATGCATTTGATGACATTTGAATCGTTAAAAAATGCGTTATTAAATAGACAGATAAGATTAAATATATATATATATATATTTCTATATAAAACCAAGGAAAATTGATGTAAAAAGATAAGAACATAGATAATACATGGGAATGATCAGCCGTTGCAGCAAACAGTTATGCGTATCAATGACGTTACGTCATTTCTAGGAAGGGTATTAACGAATAGATATTAATTTTTTCTACGGATGATTTATACTCAAATTCGAATGACCGCTCGTATATCATTGACGAAGAAGAAGGTTCCATTTATTAAACTACGAAAAGCCCTTATTCGATCCTACATCCTTCTATTCGTTTGTAAAAGATCCTACGCGTGTGAAACTATACGGTAAGTACAAAAATATTAATTTATTAAAACACAACGTTGTTCAATCGTTTCTTATAATCCGTAGTTCACATTTTTTCTTTTGCAAATATTATATTTACCATAGATAGATATGTGTTAAATCAAAAAATTCAACTATAGGTTATTGAATATTGTTTAAATATTATTAAATTTATTGATAATCGTGATGAAATAAAAATAATCTCCTTGCGATTTGTAGAAGTCTGATAAATAAATGAACAAAAAAACAACAACGAATTGTTTAAATATTATATTCATTCGTTGACAATTAATCAAACGTTTAGCACAGATTTTTTTCGTTTATTTCTCAACGTGTCAACGAGGAATAAAAATTTAAGTAATACTTCGTGTAAAAAAAAACACACATACACATACACATAATTAAATAAACAATTAATTTAAATATCAAATAAATTTCTCGGTTATTTGTGAACAAATTTATTATTGTAATTCGATAATAAATGTAATAAAAAACGATGTGGGAAATAAAATTGGATATGTTAAGAAACGTTATAGATAATAATTAATAATAAATAATTATTAAAAATAATTTCAAAATTTATATGAAATATTTTAAAACGAATAATATTCTTACGTGATACGCTTAAAATCCAACTTGTGTACACTACGACGGCCAAACTGTAACTGTCGCGAATGTTTACATGCGTGTAAAAGAAAAAAGTAAACATACTTATAGAAACATTGATTAACATAGTACGTTTTTACAAAAGTTTAATAACCTATTTCCGAAATTTGTTTTCTTTTTTTTCCACTACGTATACAACT